AAGATAGAGAGAAAGAGACAGAGAGAGAGAGAGAAAGAGACAGACAGAGAGAGAGAGAGAAAGAAAGAGAGAGAGAAAGAGAGAGAGAGAAAGAGAGAGATAATAACATCTATGTGTGCGTGACTACAGATGGCGCCGCTGTCGTTCACCAGAAGTCGTCGTTGTACTGCTTGACGACGGCCTGCACGGCCCGCAGCTCCGCCACGTCCGGCAGGAAGTACAGCTCGTGCAGGTGCTCCGACAGCTCCCCCTGGTGGTCGACGATGAGGAACGTGAAGATGTCGGCGACCTCGCGGGGGCGCCGGCGTAGCAGCGGCAGCAGCGTGACGACGATCTGTCCAAGCATCGGTCCGAGCGCCGGCAGCTCCACGCTGCAAGCACCGCGCGAGATCGTCATCGCTAGCGCCACCTAGCTTTATCTGCGTGAACTTCTACGTTCATGTTACGGCGCTATACGACCCATAGTTCACGCTTGCTGTGGCTCTACCCGTTTAACCCTTAGCATCTTCTACTGGGCTATACAACCCACAGTTCGTGCTCATGGTAGCTCTACCTGCATAGCCCCTAGCTTCTGCTACTGGGTTATATGACACACAGTCCACGCTCACCGTAGCTCTACCCGCGTGGCCCCTCGCACCTGCTACAGGGGCTATATTTCCCACAGTTCACAATCACTGTAGCTTTACATTACCTTTAACACCGTAGAGGGGGGTTGGATCGTTTATCACAGGGGAATCTATAGCACACTAACCTGATTACAATAATATAGAAGAGGGACATTTAGCACGGGGGGGGGGGGGCACACACACGCTACACCGGTCACGAGAATACATAGAGGGAGTACAGACTCTCTACACGAGCATACAGTTTGCCACGAGGACGTAATGTTATCTGTCGCGCCATGGCGCACCTGCGTACGAAGCAGTGCCACGCGCGGCAGGAGAGCAGCGGGAAGTCCTCTGTGCGGTACTTGAGAGCTATGCGCAGCGTCGCCATCACCTTCATGCGCACGGTCGTCACGTGCTTCGCTCCCATCAGCTGCATGATCGACACCAGACTGTTCAACGCCTGCGGACACAACGCAGCAGCAGGAGATCAGGGGGAGTCGGTTCCCATGACGACGACGATGATGACAATGATGAGGACAACGATGAAGACGACGACAACAATAAAGAAAGAATGATGACGATAACAACGATGTTGTCGTCATCTTGTCATCGTTGTTGTTGTTGTCGTCGCTGTCGTCGTCATTGTCGTCACCAGGGTCATCATTGTCGCTGTCGTCGTCATTATCGTCACCAGGGTCATCATTGTCGCTGTTGTCATCATTATCGTCATTGTGGTCATCATTGTCGCTGTCGTTGTTGTCATTATCGTCATCGTGGTCATCATTGTCGCTGTCGTCGTCATTATCGTCATCAGGGTCATCATTGTCGCTGTCGTCGTCATTATCGTCATCAGGGTCATCATTGTCGCTGTCGTCGTCATTATCGTCATTGTGGTCATCATTGTCGCTGTCGTTGTTGTCATTATCGTCATCGTGGTCATCATTGTCGCTGTCGTCATCATTGTCGTCATCAGGGCCATCATTGTCGCTGTCGTCGTCATTATCGTCATCGTGGTCATCACTGTCGCTGTCGTCGTCATTATCGTCATCAGGGTCATCATTGTCGCTGTCGTCGTCATTATCGTCATCAGGGTCATCATTGTCGCTGTCGTCGTCATTATCGTCATCGTGGTCATCATTGTCGCTGTCGTCGTCATTGTCGTCATCGTGGTCATCATTGTTGCTGTCATCGTCATTGTCGCCATCAGG